CTCCAACTCCGGTTGATGCCCCATCTCATTGAACATATGAATGATCTGCGAGTTGACAGGTTTGACAAACGGATAGTTGTTTGGAATCTGCAAGATTTCCACAAACAAGTTCTTCGACAGTTTAACCCGTTTGTTGTTGGTTAAATTGAAAGTAATCACATACGCCGTGTGATTGTATGATGCCGTTGAAGCTGCACGAGATAGCCACACCATTGGAACCGAGAATGAAGTGAACATGGCAGTTGATAAAGGTGATCGTTTCAGAGCAACGATAAGCATCTTCAATTCTTCTGGATAAGCAGAAACTTTTGGATCAACTTGGTAATTGGTGCTTTGAATCTTCATCAGTGATTGAGAAAGAACCTCATCAGTGTTGGAATTAGTGGCTGCCATTGTTAGGGTTTTGAGAAAGAAAGTTGAAGTTTGGATCAAGGTTTAATCTTTGAAGTTTTGTGAGACTTCTTGTTTGCGTAACCGTACATAGTGTTCTTGATCCCCCTTTTGTAGGCTACTCAAAATTGATTTGAAATTAAAGCAGGATACATTTAATGTTATCCAATGTGGGACCTTGAAACTCGGATCATGACTGCAAAAGATAACTATATTCCAAAAAGTAACTGTCACATCTCCTCGAAAACCAGACAAAATACCAACTATTTTGAGTATACAGCCTGTTAAGTATCCATTATAGAATCCGAACCGGTAAAACCCTTCGCATGGAAGCAAGGCTTGTTCACTTTTGGGATTTAAAGTGAAGTCATATGCCAGACTTGCGAAATCATCAGTCTGAGTTGGTTTTACTTAGAACCTCAAGGATTTCTTGTGTGCATTGTGCCAACGAAATAAGATAAGAAACAAAAAAACTTGTAATGTTGTGATGTCAAAAATTCAATTTGACATGAATGCAGTAAAACCCCAAGCAAAGGTTGCTTCGTTAATCATCAAGAGAGATAATCAATAGCTTGTGTAGTTTCTCGTGAATTACAAATGAATACTTGTAGAGAAGTATCAAAGGGCTTCTTTTAAAAGTCATTTTGGATTGGTTTGAAATTTCATTACATATCATCCTTAACATAAGGTGAGAAATTGTAAATGAAATTACTTGTTTGACCAGTGTAGTCAGTGACAAGTTGGCTTGTGAAAATATTTATCATGACAAGGATTTGCGAATAAAACTTACACTGAAATCATATTCAAAAGAAAATTTGTTCTGGATCTTGTTGGGTAACAAACATTCTTGGTTGTGATTATTTGATCAAGACCACACATTCGAATTGAATATGATTTGAAGTTTCGAAATTTTTGATACTGAAACAAAGGTTTCGTAAAAATCTGGAACAAAGTTCCCCGTCAATTCCTTAAAGTTTATGATTTTTGGGTTTCACTTTCATCACGGACTCATGATGTTAGATCCTAAACACAGAGTTGTGATTTGTCTAGGTTTTGATTGGTTTGATCAAAGACCTCAAGGACAAATCTCTTCAAAAAAATTTGGAGTGTAAGAATTGTTTGGTTTAAAAAGATTGGATAAGAATCGAAGTGTACCTCTTTTATAATGGACAAAACAGAAAACTCTTAACTCATTTGAGAAGAGTAAGGTAGCTCGTTTTGACTTATGCGAATATAAGCCTTTTTGGGAAGAAATTTTCATGTGATAATTTCATTAAGGCTTTCTTTTCATACATAGAGTCATGTTGAGGCTTTTAGTCTACATACAACAGCATGCTTCTAGGGACATCCTAACTAGTTTTTAAAAAATTTAATACCTTCCCATAGAAACAAAAATGTATGACCTCTTCGCATTTTAGTCCTTCATTAAATTCTCAGCACATAGTTGAAAGAATAAAGAAAACAAAAATATTTTTGTGATTTTTGAATTTTTCAAAATTAAAGAACAAAAAAAATAAAATCTTTTTGGATTTTTAATTTTGCAAAATTGAAAGCATAACAAAATAAAATCTTTTTGTATTTTTGATTTTTCAAAAATAAAAACAAAAAATAAAATCTTTTTGGATTTTTGATTTTTCAAAAGAAAAAAAATTATTCGTAAATCTTACCTTAGTTGTTATGAGCTCAGATACGAAAAGATGTGGATGCGAAGCCATGCGAAGCCTCTGAATGAACAGTAACCTCTGAATAATATTGACTCATATCTGCTGAACAAAACTTTTAGTCTTGTGTTGATGAAATTGAATTCACATTAATCATCCCCAAACCTGCTAAAATTCTAAGAAATGATTTTTCATCAAGAGGTTTTGTAAAAATATCAGCAAGTTGTTCAGTTGTTTTGACAAAATGAATTTCAATACTCCCATCTTCCACATGATCTTTGATAAAATGATATCGAAGAGCAATGTGTTTTGTCTTTGAATATTGCACTGGATTGTGACAAATGCGAATTGCACTTTGTGAATCACAATACAAAGGAATCTTTTTCATGTTTATTGCATAATCACGAAGTTGACTCTGAATCCAAATAATTTGCAAAGTGCAAGCAGCTGCAGATATGTATTCAAATCCGCGTAATATGAAAAATTCAAGTTCCAATTTCCATATAAAACTTCTCCCCCTTTTTATAATCGAAACTTGATTATAAAACTCCAAGGAAAAAAAATGTGCTCTATTCGGAATTTTTTCGTATCAAAACTCCCCCTTAACATGTGGCATAAACATTCTGCTTCAATCCGGAAAATCCAAAAAATAATGAATTTTTATCATCGTTCACGGATCACCTTTGACATAATTTCTCAAAAATGGGTAGAAATTGTCAATTTCAAAATTCTGCAGTGACCCGTTGCGCCCAAAACAGCCAAATATGCGAAACTCTAGCCCATTTGTGAAACCGGGCATAAAGCGTAAATTTGCACAAACTGCAGGGACCAAAACTGAAAATTCTGCATTTTTTTCTACTTTTATTGCCATTTTGCGAAGTTGGGTTAATTTTGCTATGTTTTTGAAATTTCAGGGACTAATTGCGAAACATGTGTGTTTTCTTCTTCATTGAATGATTATCAGGAAATGTTTCGCATTTTCATTCAGTTTCCTTTGCATTTTCAATTGCACAATTTTTGCATCTTTATCTCACCAAATGCGAACCATGAATGACATGGCTTCGCATTTTGACTCCAAATGCGAATTAAGCACTAAATGCAAATTGCAGTCACACAAATGCGAACCCATCAAACATAAGTCATAGATGCCAACTCGATATTGATATTCACTCATATGCGAAAACCCAAACTCAATCATCTGATACCAGTATCGACTCCAAACTTGCGAAATCAAACCATCAACATCATTCAGTTTGTTCATCCAAATCCATAAATGCGAACCATTTCACAATCTTATATGCGAACTTCAGAAAATGCGAACTACCCGGATGCGAACTCACACAAATCAATCACTTAATTTTCTCAACAAATGCAAACTGAATATTTCCATTAATCACATTCGCATCTTCCTTTAATTTCCAAAATCAAATTCGAGTTCTGTTACTGACTCATCTGAACCTATCGACATCATAGCTTCCGTCATCAAGAACAATCGATCGACTCCAACACAACAATCGTTCTTCATTCTTTTCATTACAGGAACCCCAAAATCAACATCGTTTTCTAATTCCAAACTTGCGAACTCACACAATCAACCAAATCATCTTCGAAAATCAAACCGATTTTGCAAACAACAATTGATCGAGCATATCAGTTCTTAGTTTGTTCCCATCCATCGTTCGTCAATAAGATCATAAATCCAACTGATTTCGAAATTAATCTCCAAATTGGACTTGATTTCAAGATCTATATCCCCAAACCAACTTATATTGAGTAAAATCAATCTCCAATCCACTGAATCAGCTCCATAATGTTAGATTTGAGTGTTTCATAGTTTGACTTTTCAAAGTCAACAAATCATAAACACTAAATCAATGGTTTTGAGGTCCGATTTCGGATCAAAAAGTTGTTCAAACAACTGTTCTTAAACTGTTCTTCCCAACTATTTTAAATTTCTTGATCAATTTTATCAGAATCAATGAATCATTTACCGATTTTCGATTCTAAAACCGATATCATCATAAAACGAATTATACAAACTCGTTTTCCAACAATTAAGAAGAAGAATAACGCAATCGAGAAGGAGATGAAATTTCCGATATGAAACAAACGATCAAGAACAATAACGCAAATGATGAATCTGCTTGGAATAATAGATATACAACCCTTGTATGCGTGAAGTGAAAATCGCATGATCTGATTTTGGGCTACTGAATTGAGTAATGAACAAGAACATATTGTATGGATTGGGCTTGAATTAAACACGGACAGTAACAAATCATATATTTGTGCTCAATAATGAAATCGAGAATTGTTTTTGTGTTTACATTGGGCTGAAACAAATGATTTTATTGGGCTTTGAAAAAGATATTGAATGATGAACAGTGAATTCGTGATTTTGAGAAATTAAGTTTGATAAAAAGAAATTGTAATTGGATCTTCAAAAAGATTTGAAACAAATTCGATCCAATTGAGTCAAAACGATCAAAAATTGAAAAACACAACGCATGAACTCAATGAAATTAAGACAGATCATAGAGAGAGACTCACCAAAATTGATCAAATTGTGAAAAAAATTGCCAAACCGAGAATCGTTCTTCAAAAGTCACGTTGATCGTGAAACCAAGCTTTGATACCAATTGATGAGAATTGTTATCGAGAATTTAGAAAAGAAAAGATAGATTTTAACGATTAAAGATGAAGAACAGAAAGAGTAAATATTAATCAGATCTCATATTGATTAAGAACTGATTACAGAATAAGCAGAAGAGATATTTGTGATTAGCTTTCGTATTGCTCTACTTCTAGCCTCAATCCCTATTTATAGGGAACATACAAAAAAATATACTAAGTCTATACATTTTCACTTCGCATACAAAATGACTTAGTAAAATAACATAAAATGCGAAACAACATACTACACTATTTTCGACTTTTTACGATTTACATCAACACTATCTACTCCAATTCTTGCCGTCCGCTTAAGGTTTCACAAAAGCTTTGAATAGCGTTCTTTCTTCGTGTCCTCTTCATTTGTCACTCACCACCGCACACCACCTAAAGATTTGTGCAACTGTGTTACAGTGATGTCTTATGCTCGAAAAAAACCATTTCTTTCTCTTATTCATGACTCCTATGACTGAAAGAGAGGCATCTATGGCCCCGTCATTTAACCCTAAAATTCCCTAAAAACATGGTTCACAAAAGGTGAGTTTTTGTATAAGTTTTGTACGTTCAAATATCTATTACCTATGTAAACTTCAACCAAATCTTACTGATTTTAAACAGACTGCAACAGAATCGATTTTGGGATCCATTTGGAAAGTCATCTGAAGCAGCACTTGCTGGAGCAAAGTCGAATGAACAAATGTAACCTCAGCCACGTACATTTTTACCCTTTCTTTACCTTTAACAAACAATGTTATCTATCACTTATTTTTTGTGTTGAAAATCTTAATGATGATGGCTTCTGTTGTGCAGGCGACCCAGTCGATTAGAATACACTTAATTACTTTTGTTGGTATCTAAAATTTATATTCTTGGGGTTGGTGTTGCGCAGGAAAAGAAATTAAGCGACGAGAATAAAGAACTGAATCGGTAGGTAAATATGTATATATCTTTATTAACCTACCTGAAAATTGCAAAGATTCTACGCACTTAATTGTTTCCATGAATAAACAAATGGGAGAAGTGATGAAATGTTGACTTACAGTTACAGGTGGCAACAACAGTAAACCAATAGTGTCCATGTTTGGAGGTGGTGGTGCATGTCGATTGTTTGGTGATTCTTGCCAAGTCGGAGGTGGTGGTCGAAGGTTGGGTAAGTGATCCTAAATACAATCAAATTTTAAGGGTGTAGTTTGGGAAGTCAACAAATAAAGAGAATTTTTATTAATGTAGGGGTAGTAGGGGCATTTTAGCTTATCTACAAAAAAAAAAAAAAAAAAAAAAAAAAAAAAAAAAAAAACAAAAACAAATATTAGACAATGAACCATCATCTTTTATGGGTATTTATTAGTATTTTTTAATTATTTTTTTTTCAAGTGTATAAATAGAATTTATGCATATTACTATTTCTATTATTTTGCTTTTAAGTAATTATTGCTTTGGAATAATTTGACGATGGAAACCAGGACCACTTTGCTAGACTTTACAATGTAGTCTTTATTTAATTTCTTTCTACACATTTAACATTGAAAGCCATTGTAGTTCTTTACTCAATAAGATAAGGTGTATTTAGCCTCAAGGTTTTCATGGTCGAGATTGTGATAGAAGGAAAACAAGATTCTTTAACCTTGAACACCATTACATACCAATTACCTAATTTAGACAACTATCTATCACTTTGTTATTTATTCAGTGACATTCATGACACAGATCCATTGACCAGAACTCTGTAAAACAGTTGCTTAACGAAGTAATCAAAGAGGTATGTGTAGTTATGCCCTTGGCAACATTTCATTCCATTTTTCATATATTTATAGTGGAAATTTAAAAGTTAATCCTAGTGTAGTGACCAGTAGAGCTAAAGAAGGTAAAGATCCAAATTTTATAAGTAAGAAAGAAGAATCTTTGAAAAAGAAGTCAAAGATTGGTGGTGAAGAAAAAATAAATAGTGACCAGGCAGCAGAACATGTGACTGTTATGAGGTCTCAGATACATCTTTTTTTGAGGGAATTTTCTTTTTGAAAGATCTCAAGTTGAGTGTAAATTGGGTGTGACCGGTTGGAAGGAGATTTTGAAGACTAGGAACGTGGGTGTCTACTATTCCGCATCTATTACCTCAATTGTGCATTCAATGGTGAATTTAAGGTGCAATTTTTCAATAGAAATTATCACGTTACAAAATTTCAAAAGTACATATCATTCAATAATAGATCTCATCAAAATTACAAAAGTACATATTTATTCGATTGGTTTCTTTTTCTGATACAGTATAGAACAATATTATATTTTCAGACGGCCACTTGATTTATCATTTTTTGTTGCCTCCAGGAATCAATTAAATATTTACTGGAGAGGATTTCTCAGGAGCGAACGTTTTGAAATTAGGTACATATGGCGACTTTTAAATGCTCAAGTCTGTTTACTACTTTCCATAACTATTGATAGTGTTACAGCATCTTGAAGCCCCTGTGTCAACATTTTATATAGTTTTACAATTTAACCTTATTATTTTTTAGTTGATGCTATTTACGTATAAATAATTGACCGTGTTCTGTTTTCTTAACATGATGTTACATAGGCTGTATTTGATTTTGAAATACCCACTACCCCCACCTACGTTCCTCTACCAAACAATGAAATTCTAAAGAAAATGGAATCTTATGTAAGCTTTTAATGTTTTTTTCACCCCATTTGGATTTCAGTTCAAAAGATGGAAATTAATGTGTGTTGTTTAATACAGGGCCTCATGAGGCATATCGACTTGAAGTTGCTTTTTGATATGAAAAATGGTTGCCACTTGGTAAAAGAAAAACATTCTTCATGTTCTTCATGGTGTCTGGGTGTCTACATGGAAAGTGCGTTACGATTATGCTTCATTATGTGATAATAATTTTTGTCCAATCACAAAAAAGACCATATTACCCTTAACAAATGTGGCTTTATCACACCCAAAAAAAAATTTGAATTGACTAAACAAAATCGAAGTCCACTCTTTCTGGTGAAGTCAACTCCGGGTCAATTCTTCTTTTTGTCAAGACATTCAAGAAAATGTAAAGTGTAGGGATGATCGCATAGTTGGGTAGTTTCATGAGCTTAATATCATAATGGGGTATCAGAAAAGGGTAATTGGTGCTCGCAATAGTCAGATGGATATTTTGGTCCCTTATTTGTAGATAGCCCAGTCAATTTAACTTTTTTTGCTTTTTTTAATCCATTTGGTACTCTGTTACAAAGCCTTTCAATTAATTGAAGACCAACATTTAAATTTGTTAAAATAATAGTGCCATTATCTTTTTTTGTCCAGATATATATCTTTTAGATATGATCTAAAAAGGAAATTATTTGCATTTTTGGTCTTTGTGGTCTTATTTTCTAATCCGTTAGTTATGTATTCTAAATTTTAAAAAATTTTAGCGAACATATGGACATAATTTACGGTAAGGTAAAAAAGCTCATTGCCTATATTAGTAATAAAAACAAAAGTATTTTGTTATTGTTGGCAATTTATCTTTTTTGCAAGGAGTCAAGAAATATCCGATCCCTCGCGGAGCGAGGGAACACCTTCTAGTTAGATAATATGATTGTTTAAAGTATAATATTATAATTGAAAAAGAAAAACAAAAATAAATCGTTATAATAGAAAATAGGAACAAAATATTTAAAGTATGATGTTATAATTTAAAAAACAAAAATAAGATGCTGAAAATAATATATATAAAAAATAAGTGAAATAGAATGATTTTAATAAACAAAATAATAAAAGTATTTTCCTATTAAAGGAAACCTAACTACAAAGATTAGCAATAGTGATATACTTTTATTAGTTTATTTATTAAGACATTTTATTTTCATTTCTATTTGATAGTTATAACAGAAAACAAAATAATAAAACTATGTTGATATTAAAAGTACGATGCTATAATACACAAAAAAGCAAAATAACATTTAAAATGAAATGCTATAATTGAAAAAAGTAAGATGCTATGTATACTGTAAATATGAAAAAGAAGTGAAAATAGAATTCTACAAATAAACTAATAAAAATACATTGCTATTAAAGATAATCTAATTACAAAGGTTATTAATAGAAACATACCTTTATTATTGTAACATCCGGGATTTCAGGTATTATTTTTTTATCATTTATTTTTGGAGTCTAAGAGAGAGACTCGACGAGTTCATGCCTAGACTCGTCAAGTGGAGTCACGTGGTGATGACTGGATTAATGAGTAGACTCGACGAGTCGGTGAGGGGACTCGACGAGTCCGTGCTAGCGACTAAAACCCTAATTTCCCGGGTTTGAGCCCCATTTAAAGGACCTTATAACCCTTCACTGCGGCTACCTTCGTCCTTGAGAGCACTAGAGAATATGAGAATCCTTGTGAGTGAGAAAGGAGGCCATTGTTCATCATCCTTGTGTGTATTAGAAAGAAGGGAAGAGGAAGGTAAAGCTAGGAGAGTTGGAGAGCTTGGATCTACTTTCATTTGGGTAGAGGAAGCTATTTGAGGTATTATTCAGAGCTTATTCTCGTGTTTTTGTTGATATAGTCAAATCTAGGGTTTCTTCATGCCTTGATTAGCTTATATTTGGAGTGTGAGAGGTCCCATGGGGAATTAGTACCTAGATATGTACCTTAGAAGGTGTAGAGAGTCCCAAATGCTCTTATTTATGCCTTTCCTTTTGAGTTGTGGACTTAGGTTACCATTTTAGAGGTCATTTCACCAAAAGTAGCATTGTAGGCGTTGCATGGGTACCAGGATGTCACCTTTACTTGATTATCATGTTTAGGAAGGTCATATCTATAGATTAGAGAAACAGATCTGACCTTAGAAGGACATTTGAGTTCAAGAATGGAATGAAATCACCAAGTGCATGAGCAGACTCGACGAGTCGGACCGGGTTGTCCCATGACTCACATAGTTGGTGACTCGCTGAGTTAGGGGAAAGACTCGATGAGTCAGTTAGGATTCATAGGACTGGAATTCACGTCTGAACTTGCAGATTCAGTGCCTGACTCGACGAGTTGGATTAAAGGGGTGGCTATTGACCAACATTGACCAGAGTTGACTTGTGTTGACTTAAGGGCATTTGTCAAATTAAGTAAGGAAGGTATTAATTAGAGATGTATTTATGCTATAGGAGGAAGCTAGGTCGGAGGATTGAGCACGAGTGATTATCCAACATCTTCGAGGGGATTCTTCTCACTATGCCTTACCCGATGAGGTGATTATGTGTGACCAGAAGGTCTTATGTGTATGATGAAAATGTGATGTATGTTGTATATGTTATATGTTATGATATGAGTATGATGATATGGACCGAAAGGTTAACAGAGTTATGGGAATGAAATCTACTAAGGCACCTGGATCGGAAGACCCCATAGAGTTATGGCCTGGAAAGGTGTATGTGCTGTACATGGTATTATGGGGAACTCACTAAGCATTATTGCTTACCGTTTGCATGTTATGTGTTTCAGGTACCAGTGATGATCGCGAGAAGGCGCCGGCTTGATCAGCACACACTTATGGTGGAGATGTTCGGAGATTCTATGGATTTTGATTTGTACTTATGTTATGTAAAAACAAATGATACACGTTTTTTGAGAATCGCGATTGGGGTATTTTTATTAAATTAAATGAAAAATTGTTTTGAAATTTCACGATGTTACAAGTTGGTATCAGAGCCTTGGTTTGAGGGATTCGGATTCACCTTCGGGTGTATTTGAACTCAAACTGAGGATTTGAGAAACATTTTCATAAAAGAAACAATTTTTCCAAAAAGTTAAAGAATTTGAGGAAAGCAGAAAGAAGCAGTGTGTACGATCAGCTAGCGCCCGAACGGTGATTTCCCAAAATACCCTTACGTTATGTGTTATGAGATATGATATGATATGATATGCATGCTAGAGTAGGCTAGGTATTAATGTTAGGACTAAAGTGGCCTGATTTGTGATGCCTTAGCCTAGGAGATTTCTGCTGCTAAGAGATGCGTGAGAGCGAGTAGGTAGTAGTGAGGAACTTATGAGAGGCTTACTGAATGGTAGCCTATGCCAGCGAGATGTAGAGTATTTGTAAGCTAAGATCCTAGGAGGAGGACTTGGGGTGAATTTTGATGTGGTGTGGGCGGTAGTATTTAGCCCGTACTACCGAAGACACTGGATCAGTACGCAGTCCAAGCAAGAATCTGTAGGGTACTAGGGAGCAAGTAGCGTTGAGTTACCGAGTGCGAGTATGCTCGAGCGAGTCTCTGATATTTTTATGTTGTATTTCAGAGGCATCATGGTTGGGACACACCACATACCGGGGACTAGCGAGGCGGTGTGAGTGATGAGGAGCTCCGCTAGATGATTCATGTTGAGGTGGCTGCGGCCATCCGAGCTGAGATACCAAAGATGTTTGGGTCTATCAAGACCACACTGATTGATACCTTTGATGAACGGTATGTCGTTCTTACTGACGCTGCTGTTGTCGCGGCCACTGCAGCCGTCACCGCTGCTAGGCCATAGGGGGGTGACCTGTTGCTATATTTGGAGTTCAGAAACACAAAGCCACCAGAGTTTGATGGGATGCAGAATCCGATTGGTTTGATGAGATGGATATCTAATATTGAGGAATGCTTCTACACCTGTTCGTATCCAGAGCATCTGAGGGTTCAGTTTGCACTGAACCAGCTTCGCTTGGGAGCGAAGGATTGGTGGAAATTTGAGACAACTCACCTTACTTCTACGGAGATCTCAGCGGTGACCTGGGAGAGGTTCACCACTATGTTCAGATATGAGTACGTTCCCCCAGTGGAATGGGAACGGTTTGCCCATGAGTTTTTGACCCTCAAGCAGGGTATTGAGTCGGTTACTGTGATCACAAGGAAGTTTCATGAGAGGGTGATGTTCTGCCCTGAGCACATGCCACCTGAGCAGGCGCACATGAGATGGTATCTGAGCATTCTGAGGAGGGACATTCAGGAGTTCGTATCAAACTTGACTTATCGGACATTTGATGCGCTTCACGCAAATGCCCGGAAGAGGGAGATTGAGTTGGAGACTCAGGCCAAGGAGGAGGCCGATTCTCAAGGCTTTGATAGGCGGCCGACACAGTCTCAGCCGGCAGCCAAGAGGGCAAAGCCCGTTGATTCGAGATCTGGAGGCTAGAAGGGTCGCACTTACGGAAAGTGTGGTAAGGGACAAGATGGAGAATGTCGATTTGGTGCTTGCTACAAATGTGGCAAGGAGGGGCATATAGCCAAGGACTACCCCAAGGGATTCTTGGTTTGCTTTCATTGCAACCGAACGGGCCATCGGAAGATCGAGTGTTTGCAGTTGCGGCGGACAACACAAGGAGCACAGTAGGGATCTGCCCCTGCTGTTGTGCGCGCTACTAAGGTTCGGCCAATCAAGGCCGTGGCACCGAAGGCTCGCGGGAGAGCCTTCCAGTTGACAGCGGATGAGGTCTGTGCGACTCCCAACACCGTGGCTAGTATGTATTCTGTTACTATTTGTTTATGATGAGATCTTGAGTTTATATTATGATATGCGTAGGTATTTTCCTGCTCACAACTTCCGCACACAACTGCTCACCGATATAGGTCACGCTCGAGCTTGGTCTGCTGGACGAGTGGTATTTCGTGATGGTCTGTGGAACATACGGTGACGAGGCTTCGGAGACAAAGTACCCTTCGCACGAGTACTTTAAGGTTTAGAATTACGAAAGATAAACTAAGGTTTAGGTCGGACTATCGATACAAATGGCGAAGGTTTCTCGAACTTGTCAGTCGAGACAATAGAACCATATGAACTTAGTATGGTGAGGACCACAATAACTCATGATGAATAATAGTAACGGACTCTTTACCGAACAAAGATTTGGCCGATTTGAATAATGCTTATTATACGATGATGTATCCCTAGTGTGTTCGACAATGTACTCCTAGTGTGTTCGACAATGTATTCTTTGTAAATGTTCTAGTGCTTTCTGTTTTGTCCTTGATGATAACAGTTCTACGTATCGTATCGCGATGAGCGAGTACATACTAAAGAAAGTGTTTTGATGACTAGTGTTGATAGTTTATACTACGATCCTCTTTGGTACCACTACGATCACCTGTCATATAAAAGTTATGAATAATTAAGATGAATAGGACAGTCGACTGAGTAACTCTGCCTGAAATCCACAACCAAACAAGGAACGGGAATTAAGGTGGAATCACTCACTCTAAGTGTACAACATTTTAGCTATGCACAACCGTGATGTATATGCTGAGCCATCATAGCTTCTCTGAACGGATCTTTTAGTTATCCCAAATACTGT